ACCCTCCACACAGGCGCTATGGCATGTGTACAAGCCTCCCCCTGCCTTCCCGCTCCCAATTTGTTGAAAAGTTCCCTTTGTCTCTTAAGGTGAGGAGATGTTCTAGTATCATCAGATTCCACCCGTGACTTCCTGCTTATAAATGTCAGTGTGTTCATTGAGAAAAAATATTAAATCCTCCTAATTAATGATACAATATCTTTTATATTCTGGGAGAATCTGACAAGTTAGTAGTGGTAGCTAATTTTCTTTAGTCTTCCCCTAACAATTTAAATAAGCAGATTGAGTGATTCTTGAAAGTGATCAGACTTGTGTGCACGTTAAATTTTCTTGGGCTGGCATGTAGAGCAGTCAATAGGCTGTTTGCATTCTATATAGACTTCTAGCATGCATGAAGCACTGGGTTTGACACACACACACACACACACACACACACACACACACACACACCACCACCACCACCACCACCACCACCACCACCACATTAACCTGGCATGGGGCTACATACTTTTACTTTCAGCACTCCAGAGGTAGGGGGAAGACAATCAAAAGCTCGAGATCATCCAAAGCCACATAGCAAGTTTGAGGCTAGGCATGAGACTGTCTCAAATAAAATAATGCTTCTTGAGTGGGTCATCTGAAATCCCCTACCCCTGATTCCTGGATAATTGAGGGTTAGGTCCACAAGAACGATTTAAAACCTGGGCTTGTGTGACTGGCCAACTCACATAGATGTGTCTGAGCATCAGCCTTAGAGTAGCATTTGCCCCAGTTGCCAGGAACTCATGCTGTGTAAGTCAAAAAACGATAGTGAAGCTTTGTAAGCGTTAAGTGTCTCACAGAAGAAAAGTGCTACTCTCTTCTCATTCTGGAATGTTCTCTGGCAAAAACCAGTACCCTTACTTTTTCTTGGGGGCATGCTCAGGGGGTCAGTACATTCTGAGGATATCCACCAGGCCTGGTTTAGCAGCTTTATTCTCAATAGTTCCAAACTGTAAACAATCAGACGTATTCACCCATCAATGAATGGATAAACAGATTATGGTACAACTAATCTGAAAGCCCAAAATTTGAAATGCTACGAAATCCAAAACATTTTGAATGCTCACATTATGCTATAAATAGAAAACTGCATACTTGATGTCAGGAGATGAGTCACAGACAAAACCAGGTTCACCAAAAATGTTGTAAAATTACCTTCAGGCTATGTGTATAAGGTGCATAGAAAGCATACATGAATTTCATGTTTACCTTGGGTCGCATCTCCTCAATTTGTATATCAATATAATGAAATAGTCAGACTTACCTGTAGTTGGTTATTTTTACTCTTTGGGGGCCTGCCACCCAGCTCCCAAATAAATACACAGAGACTTATTCTTACTTATAAATGCCTGGCCTTAGCTTGACTTGTTTTTAGCCAGCTTTTCTAACTTAAATTATCCCATTTCTCTTTAATTATGTTTTGCCTCTGGGCTTTTTACCTTTCTTTATTCTCTATGTCTTTCTTTCCTTCTTACTCCGTGGCTGGCTGGGTGGCCGGGTGGCTGGGTAGCTAGCCCCTGGCGTCCTCCTCGCCTTCTCCTTTTCTCACTCCTTCTTCTCTTTTTTCTTCTCTTGAGCCTAGATTTCTCCTTCTATTTATTCTCTCTGCCTGGCAGCCCTGCCTATCCCTCTCTTGCCTCGCTATTGACCAGTTCAGCTCTTTATTAGACCAATCAGGTGTTGTAGACAGGCAGAGTAACACATCTTCACAGAGTTAAACAAATGTAACATAAAAGAATGTGACACACCTTTGTATCATCAAATATTCCACAGCTTATGTGAATGTAACACATCTTAAACTAATATTTCACAATACCTACCCTTACCCCAAGAACAACTTCTAGAAATGCAAAATAATTTTTTTTTTTGTTTTGTTTTTCGAAACAGGGTTTCTCTGTGTAGCTTTGCGCCTTTCCTGGGACTCACTTGGTAGCCCAGGCTGGCCTCGAACTCACAGAGATCCACCTGCCTCTGCCTCCTGAGTGCTGGGATTAAAGGTGTGCACCACCACTGCCCGGCGCAAAATAATTTACAGTGACAGAAAGATTGCAGGTTGCCTTGGGGTGAGATATGGGGGGTGGGAAGTGGATTACAAAGGACCACAAGGAAATCTTTGGTGAGTAGGAGTTATCTGCTACTTCTATTGTGGTGATGGCTTCAGGGTACACACTTTGACCAAAGCTTATTAAACTGTATGTACATTTCAAACACATGTGGTACTATGTTCAATTATATCTTAATATATAGTTTTAAAGGTAATTTTTAATATAATATTTTATTAATTCTTTGGGAATGTCAGAGAATGTACTTTGAGTATTCACTCCCATTCTTCCCCCCAACTCCTTCCAGATTTATCCCCAACTCCCAATCCTTTTCCCTTTCCCAACTTCATGTCTTTGTGTTTTTTTCAATAACCCAGTGAGTCCAATATATGCAGTCCACATACTCATGGGTGTCGGGCCATCCACTGGAGTGTGGTTGACACACCAGGGGCCACATCCTTACAGAAAACTGATTCTGGCCTGGGGCTGGAGAGATGGCTCAGTGGTTGAGAGCACTGACTGCTCCCCCAGAGGACCCCAGGCTCAATTTCCAGCACAGACTTGGCAGCTCACACATGTCTGTGACTCCAGTTCCAGGGGACCTGACACCCTCACACAGACATACATGCAGGCAAAACACCAATGCACATGAAATAAAAATAAATTTAAAAAGGGGGGAAAAGAGAGAGAGAGAGAAACAGATAGGAAGGAAGGAAGGAAGGAAGGAAGAGAGAGAGAGAGAGAGAGAGAAAGAAAACTGGTCCTTCTGCCTAAGAAGCCAGCAGCTGCCAATAGTTGGTTCCTCGGTGATTGGGCTCATAAGCCACTCCCACTGCATACTGGAAGGTTGATTGGCTTGATTGTGCACAGGCGATCACAGCTGTAGTGAGTGCATGAGTGCAGTCCGGTCGTTTCTAGAAGACACTGTTTTGCTTCATCCTCCTCTGGCTCTTGGACGCCTTGCATCCTTTCTGCTCAGCTGATCCTTGAGCATGTGTGGCCGAGCCCTCCTGACACTTCGTCTCTGCACCTTGACCAGTTAGTTGTAAGTGTCTTCACTAACATCACCGCTGAGTAAAGAAACTTCTCTGATGGGTCTGAGAGCTGCAACCACCTACGGGGAGAGAAAGGCGAATGTAGAGGGAGCTTGTTAGTTACTATGTCCACTTAGCAGGACATCAAATCATGGGTTCACTTCTGGGGCCAGAGAGCTTCCCAACCACAGGTTCTTGGCTAGATTTACAGTACCAGGCAAATGTTTCCTCCCATAGAGTGGACAATAAAACTATTATAATGCAAATATCTATATTTCCTGGTGGTCTTAGGTGACCCCTCTGATGGGTCAACACCTCCAAAGGGGTCACAGCCCACTGGTTGAGAACGGCTGCATTAGAATGTAAATGTAGGTGGTGACTGTCTCGTTATCATTCCAGCACCTCCCATAGGGCCTGGCTCCCTGGAGGAACACTGGAGGCTTTGGGTAGTGTTGCTTGGATTCTAACGGCTCTCTTGTGGGAGGGGGTAAGAAGGTGCAGTGTCAATGACACAGACACCGGAAGTCCATTGAAGGCAAATAATGAGCTCAATTATTCAATAACAGGGAAGGCCTTATATACCCTCCTTCCAGTGCCCAGTCTGTGTGGTTGTCCCACATTGGCTGGGCACGATCAGGAATCTGACAGTAATCAGGAACTCTGACAGCTCCTGTTGCTAGGCTCTCAGGCAGACTCCAGGTTGGCTCTCAAACAGTATGTTGTGTGCACGCCCTGGCAACTGGTCTGAGTCAATTTCCTCGACCCCATGGGCCGGTCCTACTACAGGGTAGGAAGGAACACAGGGAAGGAGAATGATGAAGGGCAAAGAACAAGAGAAGATGTCTGACAGGCCTTGACCAGTGGCCTCTTGTGTCAGTCCAGAAGACCATGCTTAGTCAGTGACAGAGGAGTGTACAGGACCATGTGGAGGGTGGGGTGGGCAAGAACCTCAGCAGAAACAGAAATCATTGGTGTTACTAGACTCCCATTTCACTAGAGACAAGAGTATCCAGCACCTGCACTTTGAGGTAGACTGGAGTCGGGCTGGGAATGTGGTTCTGCAAGACTCAATGAAGTAGCCTGGAGAGGGAAGAATGGTGCCCGACTCTTCGGCTTCTACGGGCCACACTGGACAAAGAACTGTCTTGGGTCACACATTAAACACGCAAACACCAATAAGAGCTGATGAACTAAAATAATTTTTGTGATGTCTGCCTCCATAGAGAGGTATCATCCTAATCATGGCTGTCGTGTTTAGAGAGTCTTTGAAATCTTTACCCAGGTCCCAAGTTTGGGATCACTAATAAAGAAAATGGACACGCAATAACTAAGTAATGAAACTTCATTTTTTAAAATATATTTTTATTTTAAAGGTAAAACAAAAGAGAGTCACATAAAACCATATTTCACATGGTTTCTGAGAAACTTCCAGATGGAAGTAGTTGCAGTTTTTAGTACATTCTCAAGGTGCTCATCAGACATTTTGACTGTGGTTTTTAACTCTTAGTGTGCTTTCTTCTTGAAAATAATTGTTCCCAAATGTAGGTGCTGCCAAAAGGCAACAACATGAATGAAGCATGGTTGAGAAGTGAGGGTATTTGTTTCTAGGTCGACAGAATCTGGGTAAGTTTTGAAAAGAGACATGATTAAGCCTATTGGTAAGTTGAATGTCAGATTGCAGCTCTATACAGTCTATTTGGAAACTGGCGGGTGGAGTGTTGTGGAATATTAGTTGAAGATGTGTTACATTTGTTTATACTGTAGAATATTTGTTTAAAGATACAAAGATGTGTTGCATTCTTTTGTATATATTTTTATTATTTTTTTTTAGTTTTCTTTTTTTATTATTAAATGATTTTTTTTATTTTATATGCATTGCTGTTTTGCCTGCCTACATGTCTGTGTAAGGGTGTTGGGTCCTCTGGAACTGGAACTAGAGACAGTTTTGAGCTACCATGTGGGTGCTGGGAATTGAGCCCAGGTCCTCTGGAAGAGCAGGCGGTGCTCTTAACCACTGAACCATCTCTCCAGTGTTGCATACTTTTATGTTGTATTTGTTTAACTCTATGAAGCTGTGCTACATTGCCTGTCTAAAACACCTGATTTGGTCTAATAAAGAGCTGAATAGCCAATAGCTAGGCTATTGAGAAATAAGTGGGGCTGCCAGGCAGAAAAAATAAATAGGAGAAATCTAGGCTCAAGAGAGAGCCAGGAGTGAGAGAAGTAGAGGAGAATGCCAGGGACCAGCCACCCATCCACAGAGCCAGTCACGGAGTAAGAAGGAAAGAAAGACATATAGACTAAAGAAAGGTAAAAAGCCCAGAGGCAAAACATAGTTAAAGACAAATGGGGTAATATAAGTTAGAAAAGCTGGCTAGAAACAAGCCAAGCTAAGGCTGAGCATTCATAATTAAGAATAAGTCTCTGTGTATTTATTTGGGAGCTGAGTGTCGGGGGCCCCCAAAGAGTTAAAAACAAAAAACAAAACAAAACAAAACAAACCAACAACAACAAAAAACAACTACAGTAGAGTATTCACATCAATTGAAAAAGAAGTTATAAACATATGGAAATAGCAATTATTTCCCAGAAATCTTTTTTTAGATTTAGTTTATTCTATATATTCAGGTATTTTTTAGATTTAGTTTATTCTATATATTCAGGTATTTTGCCTGCATATATGTCTGTGTACCACATGTATGCCTGGTGACCTCAGAGGTCAGAAGAGGGTGTCAGGCTCCCTAGAACTAGAGTTACAGATGGTTCTGAGCCACCAGGTGGGTACTGGGAACTGAATCCAGGTCCTCTGCAAGAGCAACAAGTGCTCTTAACTGCTGAGCCATCTCTTCAGCTCCACATTTCCCAGAAATCTTAAAATCTGTTTTCAAGTTCTTGAATCAAATCAGAAAGTAAGGTTATGTATTTTTCAATGTTCACAGGACTGTGTCTAGCCAACATGTTGAGATGCATAAACTTTTTTGCCTTCATTTGGGATTGCCAAATTTCAGTTTCATTTGAAATGCTTGCTATGATTTATATTTTAACATTGTATTGATACGATTATACTAATATTATATTGATAAGTCAGTTTCTACCTTGAAGATGCATGTTCAAGTCCCATAAGTGAGCAGAATCCACTAAAAATGCAAAATATGTACATTAGTTGTTATCATCTGGTTCTGGCACAAATTTTGTTTTGACACTATAAATAATGTAGTTACACATTGCAAATCATAAAATCTTTTTGACATTTGGCTTTGATGTAACCATCTTTGGAAAGTAAATGATGTCACCATGAATGATGTCTGCATCACACATGAAAGGAATTCCTGCGATTGGCAAGAGTTTATTTGCTTGGCCCTTATGAAATTCGGCCACAATGATGATTTACATGGCATCATCTGTTTTTAGTGCTTTGGGGCATAAGTTTACTTTCTTTTAAAATATTTTGTGAGGATATCATACAAGTATTGACTGTTACTTGATCATATCTATCCCCAACCCCAACTTCCAACTCTTCCAAGAACCCCTCCATTCTTCTCCCAACTTCATTCCTTAATTTTTTGGTAAGCCCTGAGTCCAGTTACTGCTGACCGTATGTACACGGGGGTATGGCCATCCACTGAAGCATGGACAATCTACCAGGAACCACAACCCTGAAGAAATGTATGGCCCCTCCCCTGACACTTCATTAACTGAGTTTCAGGCAGCAATTGAATTGTCTTCTAATAATTTTGTCACTCTCTTTTATTTAGTGACTATACCAGACAGGTTGACACTGGACAAAGAAAATAACTTTAACATACATATTTTACCACTTCATACAACTCTTTTGTTTTATTTATTGCCTTTTAAGAATTTTTAAAAAGTAATTTCTTATGTGTGCATGCCCGGGTGTATGTATGTTTGCATTTGTGAACTACCAGGTGGGTGCTGGGAACTGAATCCATACACATAAAATAAATACATAAAATTTCAAAAAGTGACTGGAGAAGGTTTTGAGAGATGGTAACCAGTCTTAGAAATTTCCTTAATCATCACAAAAGAATTCTGGGAGAAAAAACTAATTTGTAAAAACTAACTATTTCATTAGGAGTTAAGACAATATGAAACTTTCTAAAACACTTTGGCCTTCTCAAAATGTGAGAAAAATAGTGACTATTTACAAAAATTCTTAGAACCTTCTTAGAACGATACTTTGAAAAATTTGTGAATTAGTGTTGATAGTTTGTCCAACCTCACCAAGAACAAGCATGGCAAATTATTCTTTGTTCTCACTCATACATACCTCTCTCCCATGTGGCTTCACGGCTTTGAAATAGTATAAACCTGATTCGGGGTGATCCTACTTCATTACTCAGTGACATCTCTTTCCCTACATTTGTGTCTATAAGTTCTACATTTTTCTCCTTACAACCCTTTACACTACGGCTTGGCTGCTTGAGTTTACAGGATTCAAAGCTATTGACTGAGCAGAAATACAGGTAGATAGTGTTTTTTTCCTTCCCCCTAAGAGACATATTGAACAGAAAACTGAGCTATGTCCCCTTCACAGCAGCTCTCAAATTACACTTCTCATCCATCCTCTTAACCTTTCACATCATTTCCTGAAGCCATTTCATCCTCCGGCGAAAATGCCAACCTAAAAATAAGCAATCACACTGAAAAGGATCCAGATGGAAACAGAAAAGCATGGACAGACTCATTCAGTCCGAAGACCATTTTCTGTATTTGCCCTCCAACTTCCAGTGTTTCCCTTTACTTCTGCCTCATGACAGGGGTGTCGGAGATTCCGAGAAGTGTTCGGACCCAGTGAAACAAAATTCATTTCTCAAGGCTTTTAATTCCAGGTGGGAATCATTTATTAGAGCTCTTTAGAAATTCAAGAATATATTGAAAATGTATGTGAGTGATTTATATATTTTATTTAATTGAGTTAAGATTTCAGCTAATTCTGTGTATTCTTAAGAAGCAGATTTTTTGCTTCAAGCAGCCGGGAAGTGAAGACCGCGTCAAGTTCACAGCTTGGCAAATTCCCTAATTCTTTGGCTCTAAGAATGTGCAAGACTTTCTAAGACAGGACTGTTCCTCCTTAGACCCAGATAACCAGGCCATGAGAATTATGAGAACAATATGAACGCTGCAAATTATAAGCAGAGTGAGAAATGCAAATACCAGACTAAGTGGGATCTGTAATAACTTGGTATTTTTAAAATTCTCTTTTTAGAAGAGAGAACAACATCCACAGATACACACACACACACACACACACACACATTTACATCAGAGGAGAATTTGGGCCTGTTGTCAAGGAATCTTTGATGTCAGTACACATTCATCTCGAACACCCACGTCTTTCTTATCTATAGTCCCGTCTAAGGGCAACTGGCGTCCAGAAGGAGAAATGTGAGACACCACAAGATGTTGAATCACTAAAGGAAAAAAAAATCACTTCTATTTTGTACCAAGGCGGGCCACCTTTCTGTGCTGTATTAGGACATTTATTAGAATAAAGAATTGAAATAAAAAGCATCGGCTGAATCAATTATCTTTTAAGTCATGAAGGGCTCATTCTCCAAGCAGTGCTTTAGAAAAATGTTCCAAGCTGTCCCTCGTTTGTGGCGGCCCATGCTTTTAATCCCAGCCCTTGGAAGGCAGAGGCAGGTGGATCTCTGTGAGTTCAAAGTCAACCTCGTCAACACATTGAGTCCAAGAACAGCCAGGGCTGCGTAGAGAGACCCTGTCTCAACAATGACAAAAGCGTTCTGAGCACAACACTTAAACCTTGATAAGTTTGATTTCACATGAATTAATGGCCATGATTTTTGCTTCGTTTTTGCTCCCTAAGCCTCAAAGCACAGGTGCTGTAAGAGTAATTAAACTGTTGTGTCTGAAGATGTTGAGTTGAAAACTGAAAGAGAGCATCTTTAAGAGGTTTGAAGAAAACAGCCTCAGCCCTCGGTGTTCACAGGTTCAAATTCCAGCACCTCCATCTTGTTCAAACCGAGCCTCTGCCAAAGCTGGATGTGTCTCTCCTCATTTTGGCTCTCGAAACTGTAAAACGCTGGCACGAGGTTAGAGGGTAGCTGTTTGTAACCTGGGAAGGGACTTTTTTTTTTTTTAACCCCATGACTTGAATTTATTTTTCTTTGTAACAAGAGCAGTTTACCCACATTCTACCTCCTGCTATTGGTTGAATTGTAAAATATTTTCACACCTGCCTTGTTTGCTTTCTGTTGCTGTGATAAATACTAATACCAAAGGCAACTTGGAGAGAAAAGGGCTCATTTCATCTTCTGGCGTACAGTCCATCATCAAGGAAGGAACAAGAACTCAAGGCAGGAACTGAGGCAGAGGCTGTGGAGGGGTGCCACTTACGGGCTCACTTTCCGTGGCTTACACGACCACCTTTCTTTTACAGGCTGAGCCCATCTGCCTAGAGAGGGCAGTGGGCTTGGCCCTCTTCCATCCATTAGTCATCAAGAAAATGCCTTGCAGATGCGGCCACATGCCGGCCTGACGGAGGCAATTCCTCAACTGAGATTCCCTCTCCCGAGATCTGTCTTGGTTTGTCAGGGTGACGACCAGTACAATACTTGATTTTCTCTTCTTCATACATTTAATTGTATCTGTTAGTGTCTAAGATATTATAGATGACCAATAGGGTTTGAAGATTGTCGGCCAACTGAGCAATTGAGTATGTGAACAATCCAGCGAGCTCCTTCTTGTTCCTCATGGTATCTAGTAGAAAGAGGCACAGAAAACAGACCACCTCTCTCCAAAGGGTGTTTGTTGGAATGCACCCTGGCAGGCTGACCTACCATCCTCAGCTCCCTGCCCATCAAACACAAATACTACTACCAATTCTTCCGTTTCTCACTACAGTGTTCACTTGTGCCCCGTGGCACCCTGGCAATATACTCAGGAAAGCTTCCTCAGGGAACTGTGCATCATTGACCATGTACTAAAAAGGTGCTTCGGGACTGATTTGTGCAGGGTGCCGAAGCTACCCTACCATTTGGGTAGTAAAATAAGCAAGCTGCAACACAACCCCCAGCCCCACCTCCACCCAGGAAGCAAGAGGCACTAAAAACAGCTACGTGCACATCTAACCCAAAAAACTAAAATTGGGCGTTGTGCTTTGTGACTATGCCAAATAAAACGAAGCCAGGCATTCTATTTCCAAAGGGGAGTTTTGTTAGCTTTTGGTCACAACTGTAACCTTTCCTGGAATAGGAATGTAACCTTTAGGAGACCAAGCAGACCTTTGCTTGCCCAGATATGTGGAGACACTTTAAATAAACCCCTCTCCCATGAAATACATTTCATGTCTCTGGTCACATTCTGTGTCAGGAGGCCCAGCCCACCTGCCTGTCCTCAGTCCTTCTTTCTTAGGCCATCCCAGGTGAAGTCGGGCTCTCCAATTCCCTACCACGCTGCGATGCTTCGCTCAGATCATGTACCAACTGCTGTATTTTTCCCCCCACAGAGTCTCACTATTTCATTATGAAGACCAGAAGAACAGGCCCTTGTTCCCAGGCAGGAAAACACAGAGGCTTCATTTGTTTATTATTTTTAACCATAACGCATTTGTTTGCTTCATCGGTGATTGTTCAGCGCTGGATGTATTGGCATGTGATTGAGGTCAGCTGCTCGGCCCCCAGGGTGTGACAATCCATACACTCCTGACTGGAACAAATCCCCTTAAATTTCAGGCTTCAAACTCAAGGCCATCAACACATAGTCTCCAAATATTCTATGTCTACCCTGAAAAAAAACCCTCAGTTGTCGAACTTCCCTTTAACGCCACTTAGAATGTGCTTTTGTAAGCACGTTCCCTCTTGACCCCTGTGAAAAAAGCAGATAGTGAAGCAAGAGAAAACAGGCCTGCGGCGGCATCATCCAAAGGCCGGCACACATACCTCAGCGCATGCGCACGGGCTGCTGGGTTGGGACAGAGAGCTTTAAAACAGCGCCGAAGCCGACTCCAGCAGTATAACCGTCTTTCTCAATTACCATGATAAAATAAGTTTTTTTTTTTTTTTCACTTAATGCTCTCAGTTTGCTACCAGGATAGACAGCTAGGTGGGTCATCAGTCTCTGGGAAAATGGTATTTTAAAGAAAAAAGTGACTTTCTGCGGCTTCAAATCCTGTGCCAAGAGCACACTGACAGATTCCATTCGCCCCGTTTCTGCTTCTCTCAGATCTCATCCTGCCCAGCAGATCTTAAGCTCTCACAACGGGATCTTTTGGATTCCTTTTGCTTATAGCATTTGAGAGTAGGAAGGGGAAAGATTGGAAGCAAATATATCCAAATATTGATTGTGGTCAACTGGATGATTGGCATGTAGGTATTGATTATATTGGTTTCCATAGTCCTACAACTTTAAAAAAATTTAATACATTTTAGCTGGGTGGTGGTGGTGCACACCTTTAATCCCAGAACTCAGGAGGCAGACACAGGCGGATCTCAGAGTTCAAGGACAGCCTGGTCTACAGAGCAAGTTCCAGGATAGCCAAGGCTACAGAGAGAAACCCTCTCTCAAAAAACAAAACAAAACAAAAATGGCTACATTTTAAATTTTCTCCCACGTGATAGGGAGGACTGGGGTATGGCACGTGCCACGGTGCATAGGTGGAGAGAAGTTACAGGATGACTGGTAGGAACAGGTGCTTGTCCTCCACCTCGTGGGTCCTGGGGATCGAACTTGGATGTCCGACCTGGCAGCAAGGGCCTTTATCCACTGAGCCAGCTCACCGATCCCCTACAGGTATTTTTAAAGTTCTACACACTGTTCAAAATGTGGCCCCTGTGTTTAAGAAATTCAGAGTCTGGCATAATATATAAGCAACTACAATTACATTGGAGTCTTGCACATTGATTATTACTCTGGGAGAGTTTTTTTCCCCCATTTTAATATTGTGTGGTGTTGTCTGCAGTTAGGCCTTCGTCACCAAGGCCTCACTCATGTAAGGCAAGAATATAAAAATGCTTCAAGAAGACAAAGTTTGGGGGACTGGAGAGATGGCTCAGCGGTTAAGAGCACTGGCTGCCCTTCCAGAGGTCCTGAGTTCAATTCCCAGCAACCACATGGTGACTCATGACCATCTATGGTTTCAGGTAAAGGTAGGGCTGTACTATGGACAGAGCCTGATGTGTGTGAGCAGAATCTGGACCACAGCTGGGGCGGAGAATCCCCTTTCAATAAGCCTGGGGTGTCCTGTGTCAGCATGGTTAGGGGTGTCCTATGTCAGCATGGCCAGGGTGTCCTGTGTCAGCAGTGAGCTTTCAGAGTGTCAAGCGAGTTTGCAAAGTGTCAAGTCCCACACGTCAAGTTTCTCACTGGTTGATGAGGATGTGAGGAGCAGGAGCCGGGGATAACACAATTGTGTTGGTCACGCTCATCAAAGGACAGTGTGGAAGAGGGCTGGAGAAGGGCATGGAGACAGGCTGGAGAAGGGCATGGAGACAAGCTGGAGAAGGGCATGGAGACAGGCTAGAGAAGGGCATGGAGACAGGCTGGAGAAGGGCATGGAGACAGGCTAGAGAAGGGCATGGAGACAGGCTGGAGAAGGGCATGGAGACAGGCTAGAGAAGGGCATGGAGACAGGCTGGAGAAGGGCATGGAGACAGGCTGGAGAAGGGCATGGAGACAGGCTGGAGAAGGGCATGGAGACAGGCTGGAGAAGAGCATGGAGACAGGCTAGTTAGAAGGCTCTAGGTGAGACTGGTGGTGGCTTGTAATAGGGCAGGGCAGAGAGAAAGGGGGGTCAGATGACAGGTCTTTAGGAGACAGATGGGTCCACAAGAAGACAAAGCAAGTGTGGGAGATAAAGGTAGACAACAGAGGCAGTGTCGGGTTTGTGACACAGAAAGTGGGTTGAAATTGCATAAGTTCAGAGACGGGGAGAACAGGATAGAGAACTTTGCAATATACCAAATTTGGGGAGTCTCAGGCACATTATGGAGTTGCCCACGAGTTCACGAGGTGTTTACAGATACAGTGAGTCTGGGTTGTGGTGATATGTTACATACCCTAACAAATTTGCCTGGTGATCAGAGAACAGAACAAGCCACTAGATTAAACATAGAAGCTAGGCAGTGGTGGCACACACCTTTAATCCCAGCACTCGGGAGGCAGAGGTCTGTCTGGATCTCTGTGAGTTCAAAGCCACCCTGGACTACATGAGACTGACCCAGTCTAGAAGAGACAGAGAGCCAGGCAGTGGTGGCACACACCTTTAATCCCAGTACTTGGGAGTCACACGCCTTTAATCCCAGCGCTAGGAAAGTTGAGACAGGAAATGATATGGGTGGGCGGAGAAAGGAATATAAGGCCTGAGGAGACAGGAACTAAAGTTCAGCTGAGAAAAGCTTTTCAGACTGAGGAGTCCTAGAGGTAAGAGGTAGCTTGTCCCTTTGTCTCTCTGATCTTTCAGCATTCACCCTAATACTCTGGCTCCTGTTTATTTATTATTTATTTATTTTTTAAAGACCGTTTAGCAATTCATGTTACACCGGGTAAGTGTGCTCTCTGGACCAGAAGTCGATACATTAAGTAGATGCCACGTAGGTTGAGAGGAGGAGGATGCTAAATGTGTCTCAGAAAGAGTGAAGGAGAGAGGGAAGAACAGAGGCCTTAGCTCTGATGGCACTCAGAATTTAAGGACCGGGGAGAGAAGAGAGACTGAAGAGTGGCGGGTTCCCTGGGCAGAAGGAAGTTCGGGTGTGGTTTCAGTGAGCATCCCATCTGCGACCTGGGAGATCACACAGGTTGTCCGCAACTTTGAATTCCAATAGGAATGACTACCTTTAAAGAAAAATGTGAGTATGTCCCTTATTTGCTTGTCTGCTTGTTTTGAGACAGGGTCTTGCTGTACAGCTCAGGCTGGCCTTGAACTCTTCATCCAGAATTCTACCTCAGCCTCTTGAGTGCTGGGATTGTGGGCCTGCGCCACCATGGACAACTGTACTTGCTAAATATGGGAAGCCTAGTGTGTGAAGACTAACATGTAAGTAGATGTGTTAGAGAAAGCACAGGCATAGGACTCCAGGGGGCAGAAGGAGAAGACACAGAGAGAGTTCTGGGAGCCCATCTTCCGAGAAACCGGGCTGCAGGGTACTGGGGAAGGGGTCAGGGAAAGACAAGGAGCACTCTCTTAGGCTGAATAGATACTTCATGTTATCATCTGTCTCCCACAAGTCACAAACTCCCTGAGGTACACATCCATGCCTCGATTTCCCTTATAATCTGATCTTCCCAAGGCCCACTCTCCACGCATTAGGAACTCAATAAATGTCTGCCAACTTAAATTCCTAGACTGAGTTTCTCCAAGCTAGTCAGAAAAATGAAGATCACTTAAGGAGGCACAATATTTTTGCCTCTATTTGAACATTACAACCTAGTTCAGATTTAAGCCCAATATTGTCTTTTTAAAAAAAGAAAAGACAGCCAGGCGGTGGTGGCGCATGCCTTTAATCCTAGCACTCGGGAGGCAGAGGCAGGAGGATCTCTGTGAGTTCGAGGCCAGCCTGGTCTACAAAGTGAGTTCCAGGAAAGGCACAAAACTACAGAGAAACCCTGTCTCGAAAAACCAAAAAAAAAAAGAAAAGACAAATTATGGGCTGAAACATTTTGGCACGTATAGTTCAGACTGATTGGAATGGCCTGGGAAGTGACCTCAACTCCCTGCTTCTATTTATTAGTAAACGTATTGTATTAGTCAGGGTTCTCTAGAGGAACAGAATTTACAGGATGAATATATATATATATATATATATATATATATATATATATATATATACATACATATGTATATATATAAATGAATATATATACACATATATATACATATATATGTATGTAGACACACACACACATACATATAAAGGAGATTTATTAGAATGACTTACATGCTGTGGTCCAGCCAGTCTGACAATGGCTGTCCCAATGGAAGGTCCAGGAATCTGGTAGAGTTGTTCAGTCCTCAAGGCTGGGTACCTCCCCTGGCCATCAGTGTACACCAGAATATCAAAGACATAGGCTCTAATGCCAGTGAAGGAATGGACTTGCTAGCTAAAACAAGCAGGCCAGCTTCCTTCTTCCATGTCCTTTATACAGGCTGCCAGCAGAAGGTGTGGCCCAGTTTAAAGGTGGATCTTCCCACCTCAAAAGATCTGGATTAAAAGTGGGTCTTCCCACTTCAAATGATTTAATGAAGAAAATAACAATCCCTCACAGGTGTACTGAGCAGCTTGAGTTTTAGTTAATTCCTGAGCAGTCAAGTTGACAACCATGAACAGCCACCACAGGTACATGCGCTCTTTTACTGCAGAGCACAATGCCAATTCTTCTACCTTGCTAATATAAAGTAGCAGCAGCAACAAGGAATCAATTAATGAATTGTCTTGAGCTTTATCAAGATCATGCAGCTTTCCAGGTGAGTTAAATAGATCCGGAAGGAAAATCAAAATAAAAGCAACCGGGCACCCGAAAACAGCCCATCAGGTGCTCAAGAGGATTGTGAGACCCGTGGGAAACTCCAGCATCCTTCAGCCTGTCTGACACCAGCCGCTCCACTTGGCTCATAAACCGCCTCTCCTTCTTTACACAGCTAAGTGAAATCCACTCACCCCGTCAGAGGAATAAACCAACCACAAAACAAACCTATTAAAAGGCCACTCAAGCCCGCCTTAAGTGATCCAAAGCAGAGATGCCTACACGCAAGTGCTTTCAAAGAGGGATGCTTTGCATTTCCACTCTGAAAGCACGTGTCTGAGTCTACACTGGAGATTCCTGTGGGGAGAGAGCCTGGAGCTGCCTGGGCTGAAGTGGAGCCCGGGACTCTGTGCTGGCTGTTTCGGAACGCGGACCAGGCACAGACTTGGAGCCAAAAGAGGCTCTTGTTGGATGGAGAAGGAGAGAAATGGTTAAATGGGAAAACTTGTATGTTGAGGCTGGGTTAGACCTGGGTTCAAATCCTAGACTGACTCCGCTGCAGCTCTGCAGGCCGGGTTTTAATGCGGTCGTGGTGAGTAAGGCTTTAGGGTTAGACGCGCTGGCATTTGGTGCCTTTTGCCACAGGCAGAATGAATAGAGCATTCTCCTTAGAGCCATTATATCACCACGGCTTCAAGAGAGGAAAAGTGATAAGAGAATTCCAGGAAGGAGGAGAACTGGGAAGGTCCCGGTCATACCGTGGGAAGGAAAAGAAGCCCTTCCACCATGGGGGAGGGACGCACGAGAGTAGAAAAAGAAGAGCAAGTGGCGGACACTGGCATCCTGGCAGGCTTAAACTCCAAAGGGAAGGAGTCAGTTCAGCTGTTGGAGTTGGGGTTGGGGACGCTCAGGGGTGCAGTTTGTCCGTCTACCTGTATGAGGACTCCCAGGAGGAGGCTGCCCTGTAGATGCGTGGTAGGCCAATCTGACATCTACCCTGCGGTGCCACTTGGCTCCAGATGGCCCTAAGGCAAGACCACTCCTCCCTTGATGCTGCTCCGCCTGGCTCCGAAGCCCATGAGCATGTAGAAGGCCACTGAGCACTCAGGCCAGTGGGCATACCATGGGTTCTGTGGAAGGGGAGGGACATGCAGCGGTTGGGAAGAAAACTGTCCATACATATCACAAGGGACAGTCCTGCCACCTGTGCTGGGGAGAGAGCTGTGTGGACTGAGATGGAAGGATGGAGCAGCAGCAGGACAGGCATGACATACGGCCTGCCTAGGTCCCGACTGAGCCTACCAGGCCAGGAGCAGACAACAGGTTTCTCCACAGCTGGGTTTTACCCTTATACCCCACTAGGGGCCTTTCCACCAGGAACCCAGAGGGCAGGACAAGGACCAGGCTTCCTAAAGCAACGGAGATGGGTCAGGGCAAAGGCATAGTTCCAACTGAACGTTTACCTTGAATTATTTGAATGGCTGTTCAAAAGAAGCCAAGATAATTGGTGTGTGTGTGTGTGTGTGTGTGTGTGTGTGTGTGTGTGTGTGTGTGTGTGTGAAAACAAAAAATGACTCTTCTGTCTGCCTTCCATCCTTCCCCCAAACCGTGAGCTCTTTGACTTTATCAGTTTTTGTTTGTTTCTGCTCCTCAGGAGGATTTGGGGTGCTAGAGGCTAAAATGATGAGTTATAGAAAATAATGGAGCTGGGTGGCGGTGGTGTGGCGCACAGCTGGGCAGCAGTGGCGCACGCCTTTAATCGGGAGGTAGAGCTAGGCGGATCTCTGTGAGTTCAAGGCCAGCCTGGGCTACAGAGTGAGATCCAGGACAGGCACCAAAACTACAAAGAAACTCTGTCTTGAAAAACCAAAAAAAAAAAAAAGAAGAAGAAGAAGAAAGAAAGAAAGAAAATAACGGACCAAGCGACACACCCGTTGCAGGTGCAGGGCAGATGTCACAGCCCACCTTTGGCATGTGCTAAGCACCCGGGCCAGCCCCCAGCACATCGCTGTGCCCTGCTGTTCCCTAGCTCCCTCCAGCTTCATTTTCCGCCTCTATGAAGCAGATATCTTGCAACATCCCTGTCACACAATAGGTATGCTGAGAGGGGATCGCCCTTTCCTTTTTCTGTTGCCTTTCTGAAGAATGAAACTATTTCTCATTTTCCCACCTCAAGGAAATCCAGCTCTCTGCATTTACTCCCTCAACAAAAGCTACTGAGCTTCTTCTCTGAATAGGGCGCCCTGCTGAGGGGTTCTAAGATGAGACATGGATACTATTTACCACTCTCAAAGAGGTGAGTCCTTGGGGGAGGGAGGACAATTGTCTTGTTTGTAACAGAGGGGAAACAGAAGCACCAGTCACGTGGGGGCAGGTATAGCACCGGCAGGGCTCACTTCAAGTTAGAAGGCAGAGGTTCATTCATCAAGCCAGGCCAGTGAATAGGTCTTGGGAAAAGAGGCTGACTTGGGTGTGTAGAGATGGTGGAGGGAGGTCCAGGCAGTCCACTGCCTGAACCACAGCACAGTGTGGTGCAATGGCCTGCAACCAAATCAGAAAAGGCAAGAGAATGGGGGAAGCGTGCCGCTGTGAGGAGCTCAGTGCAGGCAGGCCTCATACAATGGCTCCATAATGTTACCACACTGAGAGTTCTTTCTTTCTTTCTTTAAATATTATTGTCTCGACATTTTAAAAATTTACTTTTACTTTATGTGCATTGGTGTTTTGCTGTGGGTGTGGGGTCACCTGGAACTGGAGTTACAGACAGGTGTGAGCTGCCATGTGGGTGCTGGGAGTTGAACCTGGGTCCTCTGGAAGAGCACTCAGTGCTCTTAACCACTGAGCCGTCTCTCCAGCCCCCCTAACTGAGGGTTCTTAACAGGCCTTTTCTTCCGATGTGTTGTGAAAGGAAAAGGAAAGCATTAGCATAAACCAGGTCTCTGCACCAAGCCCGCTGCCCTGTGGATAGCACGTCGTCTATGTCGTATGAACGAACGGGCACTAGGCATTCACAGAGGAGCGAACGCAAGTTCAGGGAGGTTAGGAACGTGCCCAAGGTTACACAGCTAAAAATATATCAACTCAGAGTCAAACTTGGGTTTGCCCGATCCATAGCCAGCGTTCTGAGAAAAGGCCCTGGGGCCTTCCCTGTTCTGCCTGTTTGCTTGTGAACACACCTTTCTCTCCAGCTCCTGGGTTTTAAGGAAGTCATGATGCATCATGTTCTGTTACCAATAAACTAACACAGAGATGGAATGTGTGCAATCTGAAAATCAGACTCAACAGAAAGCTGCTTCTAGCTCAGGGTCAAGGAAAACTGCCAAAAAGATGGGTCCTCTCCTCCCCTTGGTAGGCCCGTGACTATCCTGTCAATCTTGGTTATCCAGAGGGAGAAGAATAGGGTCACGGCCCAAGATTCAGCTTAAAAAAGAAAGCCAAAATGCAGGGAACCCTAGGAGACTCGTTTTCTATATCTTCTTGCCATTTAAGCCTGGGAGATTATATTTAGAGGGACATTCTGAGTCAGGAAATACCATGACAAATGTTTATCTGGCATAGAGCGCCTCAGGGAGAAGGCTCACAACGCCTGCTCCCTCAGCTGGGGCTGACATAGCGAGACCCAGGACAATTTGGGATTTGTGCTACAAATCGGGTTGAGGGACTTGGTCTGAGCATATGAGCCCAAGGGCCTGATTAGATGTTAAACCCTCTGTTTACCTGAAGCCAAGGCCCAGAGAGGCATGTCAGCTCGTCCAAGCTCACACAGACCCAAAGAAGCAGAACCAAGACGAGGGGCCAGGGATCGGACCTCTTGGCTTCTCCATGGAGCTGCTCTAAGGAGTGTAAACTCACCTGACTGAAGGACCAAAGCTGATGACTGTCCTAATGGCCTGTGATTGGTTTTACTGGAACGATAGAATTTTTACAACTAAAGGTGGTGGTATGAATCATCTAGTCCGTCGGTCACATTTTATAGATGAGAACATGGGAGCTCAGCGCCAAAAAAATTGGCTTCCTACAAGGCCAGGACAATTTTAGCTATGGAATCTGGTAGGTCACAGATCTGCCTGTGGTCAACACTGAGTGATCTGTCCATTCACGTCTGATAAGTGTGGATCACTCAGCAATGATGTATATATGCATGTGTGTGTACATATATATATATTTACACATATATTATATGCACATAGCAAACATATATACGTGTGTATCCATAGTATACATACATACTGTGCATGCATGGATATGCACTTGCATATATTATGTGTCTACCATGTGTCTACATAATATACATTCCACTGACCCTGATAGTCACCGTCACCCCTAGCCCCACACACTCAAATGTGGAGATCCCAGAGGTAATCCCATTATGTCCTTACCTTTAGATAAGCTTACTGTCCTGATCAGAACACCCAGGACCAGGCAGTTTGTATAGAAAAGGTGTCTATTCTGGCTCACAGTCCTGGAGGTTGCCAAGTCCAGGAGAACAGTGGTTTAGCTTCTGGCGAGGGCAGCCTGCTGCTTCCCGTGCTGGGTAGTAGAAGAGCAAACTGGCTGGAGACAGAAGAGGTAAAGCATGAGAGGCGGCCTCACTGTCGCTCTCACTGTAACTACCCCAGCCATGCAAAGGTGAGAACTCCTTTCATCCACTCCTGAGAACTCTCCCTCCACACCCCAAACTCCCTCTCCACTCCAGCATCAATCACCACGTGGAGGAATCAAGAGGTGAACGCATGAACTTCGAGGGGGACACACTCAAACCATAACACTTATCTTTCTAGTTTTTACAAAGGAGATAACAGGTGGCCTAATTTTAAAGCAGCCAGTAGAAGATTTCTCAGACGTCTGGGTCTTCCCTGGTTTGAAAGTCCCTCCATTTTGGCACACAGACTTTGAAGCTGGATCCAACACTCCATGGTGTTTGTCGCGCAACTCCCGAGTATTAAGTAGATTTACAGCGTTCCTGGTGACAGGAAACTTCTCCTAACATAAATTTGTTCACCCTCGCAACTTACCTGGTCCCACAGTCACCTCCCTCTAGTCAGCTTGCAAAGCCCTGCAAGCCAGTTTGCCCTGGGGAAGAGAAGCCTGGGCGCCCTTCTGCCTCTTTACCAGGAAAAGCTCCATTTGCTTTGCTACCCAGCTGAAGCTGCTCCCCAAGGAAGCACTTTCTGCAGTCAGGAGGAAATCAGGATGCTGTTTCCCTGGGACTCCTACCATCTCCTCACCAACCTTTCAAAGCCCCCCCGCCTCTGGATCTGACGTGACTTGTTCTTTAAAGCAGGCTTGTGAGAAAGATGCGTTTATGCCCAGCTTTGCATTCCTGCACAATCCCTCTGGCGCCGAGGCTGGAAGTGATCTGTGCAGGGCACACAGCCAGCCTAATCATTCCCATACTCACGGATGCAGGGAATCCCAGCTCACTGGCCCAGGGGAGGGAAGGCACCTCCCTCTTTTTGACAAGTGTCTCCTGAATGGGTGTGCTTAGCAGTCATGGCTGCCTGGGAGGAGGGATGGGATGATCTGAGTCTGGAAAGATGGGTAGGATTTGCTAAGGCATCTGTGGCAGGAAGATGGGGTAAGCCATGGTTTAGGATAGTAAATGAACCTGGAAGTGGGGTTAAGCAAGAGAGAAAGTCGGGTACTTGTTGGGGAGGAGGAAGATGAAACCAGTCAGGGTCCTAAGGGGGACAGGGGCTACCTCCAAATGGGATCATTCCAGGAGGGTTATGGGTAAAGCTCTGAGCTGGGCAAGCCCCAAACAGTGCAGGGAATTAGACCAGGAGCCAAGCCTTGTCAACGCTAGGCACAAAAAGACAATGGACCAAGATGCAGAGAGTTACGCAAAGCAAGCTGTTTCAGAAGGAACAGAAACCGAGGACACAACCAGTTAGAGGCAGTTACCCTGGGGGAGATCCAGGGAGTGAGGAGGGTCCTGTTCACAATTCAGAACCTCATGCATCCACAGGTGCCTTCGGGGCCCAGGTGGATGGCCTGGCAGTCTGCATACATTTTGCAAAAGTAAAAAAAAAAAAAATTTAATCATAGTCTCTTTTTACAATACGCGTCGAATGTTGGGTGGCTTTTGAGTGGCGGCGGGCATCTTGGGAATCTGGTGAAGGGGGAGATGGGTTTGGGAGGTGGACTGTATTTAAATGACTTTTGTGTGGTCCACTCAATTTGTTGCGAGCTCTCCCATCGCCCTTGGATCGCGTGGCTGTCATCTTGGTAGAGAAGCACACCCGGCGTGCCCACGGGGGAGCGGTCACCATCCCTTGCTGATCTGCTGCTGAAAACTGACATCTTGGAAGATGTCTGAGCTTCGCTTCCCTGGAAACTGATAGGAAACGACATGGCGGAGGTCCCACTGGAGATGCATATGTGAGGGAATGAGAATGACATCACTGAGAGAGGCTGGCCAGCGTAGGATCTCAGTCAGTCTGAGTAGCTACAGAAGGTCACGTGGCCTGAGGAAGCATGAACCCCAGAGGAGCCTCTAGAGATCACAACAGAAAACTCACCATGTGCCACTCCACTGCGGACATCAAAGACAAACTAGCTTCTAAGAGTCATTGTCACCATCCCGGCAGCAGTGAAGAGATCTAAAAAGGAGACATTTGTCCCCCTCTGGCTAGGAGACTATTGAATAACGGTCCCCAAAGGAATTGGAACTTCCTCAAGAATATCATGTTGGAGGAAGGGAGAGGCCTAAAGAGTCTGGTGCCAGCCAGAGGAGTTTGTCTTCCAGGAAGAGACTTCACGCGGCCTGACAATTAGTCAGACAGTCTCACAGGACAGATGCCTGCCTGGATACAAATGGTCAGTGATGGGCAGGACTATACCCTGACTAAGTCTGCTTAGTTATACATACCTCTTGTCTTCTATTTAAAATTAAACCTTGGGCAGAGAGACAGTTCAGGTGTTCAGAGCACTTGTCACAGCCTGGCAGTGGTGACATACTCCATTAACCCCAACACATGGGAGGCAGAGGCAGGCAGAGCTCTGAGTTTGAGCCTGGTCTACAGAGTGAATTCCAGACCAGCCAGGACTACGCAGAGAAACCCTGTCTTGAAAAACAAAACAACACAGAAGCACCTTGTGACTCTTACAGAGGACTCAGGCTTGGCAGCCAGTTTGCCATATGGTCACTTACCATTGTCTATAACTCCAGTTATAGGAGACTCAATACCTTCTTCTGACCTCTTCAGGCATCAGGCATGCATGCAGTGCACAAAGATAAATGCAGGCAAAACAGACAGACACATAAAATAAATTCAAACCCCAGCTTCATATCAAGACTCCAAAGATGGATATGGGGGCCCCTGGGCCTCTTTGTTTATTTCTCTCTCTGGTGTTGCCACGTGGAATAAATTTCCTTTCTCTGCTTCTCACTATTATTTTGTTTCATTGATTGGAATGTTGAAGACAGGTGGCCAAGCATAGATTTGTAAAGGGCTGCCAGAGCCGAGGCTCTGACACTATCAACCTCAGAAACACTTACCATTTCAAAGAATATTTAAGATCAGCTCCTGCACAAGAAAACTTGAGGTATCGGAAATCTTAGTTCTGGACGAAGAAAATGATAGCGGTCTTTCCAAATTTAAAAACAGTTTGGACAGTTTACGTGATTGCTAGGCATGGTGGAGGGAGGTGGAGGCAAGCAGATCTCTTGTAAGTTTGATGCCAGCCTGGTCTACACTGAAGAGTTCCAGGTCCACCTGGATTACATAGTAAGACTCTGTCTCTAAATGATAGATAGATGATAGATAGATAGATAGATAGATAGATAGATAGATAGATAGACAGATAGATGTAATTTTAAAAATTTACACGATTTATAATGAGATGTGAACTGAAACAATTCTAGCTAACCAGTGGTGAAAGAAAATACAATGTCCGTCAAATCTATTAAAGACTGGATTGTATTTCTGCTCTTCTCTAGAAAACTGCATTACAAACTTGTGTCTCAGTGGTAGGGTACATGTAGGCAAGAGATGAAGAGAAAGTCTTACAGGTATTTCCCAGGCAACTAAAAACATCATTATTTTTCTGTATTTTGTGATAACTGTGTTATTTGTAATCATTTTTAAATTTTGTAAATTTTGTTGTGGTAAGTAGACATTCATTCCTGTGTCTAGAATTTTATTTACAATTACAGTATAATGATTTTAAGCTCTGGCCAGGAAAGACCAGGGTCCACAGTTAGATCCACAGGTATAAATCCGTGGCCTGGTCCTCCCTTCATAGAAGTCCTTCCATTACTCTACACTGACTGAACACAGAGGTCTTGGGAGGGGAGGCTTCCCAGGCAAACCACGGACAGTGTATCAGGAGGCACAAGCTGAAGACAGCGGGCACAGCTAGGCAACATGGAGACAAATTATATCAGTCTTGAATGTCAAACCCAGCCTGCATCTTATTCCCAGAAAAGATTGGCATGAAACCAAAACTCTGTATTAAGGGATGAAAGGATTCTTTAATCTGGGCTTGTAGACATTGCTCACCAGAGTGAGCCACGCTGGATCACTTGGGACAAAGTCTTGCGCCCTGACTAGGGAGGAGGCATATGCTCCATTTCTTCTTTCCTGTGGTCTGTGAGTCTGTATCCCAGGAAACCTCTGGATGAGAAAGGACTGTGGTACCCTAGGAAGGCTGGGGCAGAGCATAGTTCAGTATAGCCATGACAACATAAGACTCCTTGGTAAGGTCAGCAACTGGGATGCTAAGCACACATTTGTTCTTCCTGGCAGGAGGAAGGTGCTGGCCTGCTGATCGCCTCACCCCTTATCCTCCAAGGCAGCTCTGTGTGGCCAGTACCCATCCACAGACAGAAGCAGACCTCCCTACAAGGGTCAGAGCCCAAGTTTGGGGTGGAGGTGCCTCCATGACCTCTTTCCCCAACTCCTTCCTGATGGGTCCCTGGGATGTATCCAGAGTCACTGCCTGTCTCCTTTCTGGTGGGTCTCACTCCATGCCCATTCTTTGTCCTCCACTGGAAGGGGGATTCCTGGGTTCTAACTGGCTAGTTTCCTGGCCTCATTTAATCTGTCTATTGAATACCTCTTCTTGAGTCTCCCAGGATACTTCACAGGTGATGTATTCAAAACCAAACTCACTAATACCAACAATGCTACCCTTACAACATTGCCAGGCTTTGCTGTTTACCTTTCTTTCTCCCCGACCCTGCCTTACTTAGGCTTCTGTTACTTCCGGTCCAGACCGCCATCTTGACTTTGGTTGAGTCTTGCTCTGCTCGATCTCTCTGCCCAGTGAACCTACCCTATACACAGTGTCAGGTGTAATGCCTAAATCACAGACCATGGCCCTCCACTGCTCAGCCACCTGCTGTGGCTCTCCGTCACCTCACACATTAAACCCCAACCTATCAGCTTGACCATCTGTAGTCAATCACACACGTGATAATGCAGTTACTTAAAAACACAGAATCATGTGTCATGATTTGCACTCAGACAGTGGGTCTCTCTCTCCTCTCATTCATTTTAGTCAGAGAAATTTGTAAAAGGACGGGGCCTGGTAGACAGTTGGTCCTTGGGAAAGGATTAGCTCTACAACTGAGCCATTTCTCCTCGGTCATCCGGTCTAGATTAGTACTCCGTTTCTTTCTCCTCCCCCTAGCAGGCCGGCCAAACTCCATACTCACTCTCTCCTCCCTGCCTCACTCAGCCCTCTTAGAAGGTCCCCACTGAGGACCTTCCTATCATAGCCCTCCCAGGCCCGGCCAACATGTGTGCATACCACACGGTGTGCAGGCAAGCGCACACGGCACGCACAGACACGTCGCTTTGTCCACGCAGCCTTCCTCACTTCTTTCCCCTCCCCCACTCTCAGGCACTCCTCTCTCATTGTCTTCACAGTATTTGTCTGTACGAAGACTGGGAAGGAGCAGGCTTGCTCTTTCGTCATGACCCTCCCCGAACACACCAGGGTTCCATGGGAACGACATGGATTCCTTCCAAAGCTAACACCCCCAACGACCTAACAACCGAAGACGACAACTCTTAACATCGCTCCATGCCTACGTTGGGGCCAAGCTTCTAACACATGAAAACGTAGGGGAGAAACCACATACAAACCCACCTGCTGCTTCAAAGGCTAACCTTCTCTGGAAAGGCTCACAAACATGCCCAGGAATGATGTTTCACCAGCTCCCTGGGTAGCTTTTAGCCAGTCAAGTCAACACTCAACATTCACCATCACAACATACAATAGCATTTTTTTTTTTTTGGCTTTTTTTCGAAACAGGGTTTCTCTGTGTTGTTTTGGTGCCTGTCCTGGGATCTGGCTCTGTAGCCCAGGCTGGCCTCAAACTCACAGAGATCTGCCTGGCTCTGCCTCCTGAGTGCTG